TTAATGATATCGTTTTCCGGATTTCTTTTTCATCATTCTCTTTATTGTTATATTGGAATCCAGCTGATTTTTGTATGTTTATCTTGTATCCCGCTACCTGCTGAATCTTTCTATTAGTTCAAGTAGGTTTCTCGTGGAGTCCTTAGGGTTTTCTATGTATAGTATCATATCATCTGCAAACAGATACAGTTTAGTTCTTCATTACCAGTTTGGATGCCCTTTATTTCTTTTTCTTGCCTTATTGCTCTAGTTAGAACTTCCAGAACAATGTTAAATAGGAGTGGTGATAAAGGGCATCCTTGTTTTTTTCATGTTCTCAAGGGGAGTGTTTTCAGCCTCTCTCCATTAAGAATGATGTTGGCTGTTGGTTTTGCATAGATGCTCTTTATCATGTTGAGAAATTTCCCTTCTATACCTATTTTATTGATAGTTTTTTATCAGGGATGGATGTTGGACTTTGTCAACTGCATTTTTTACATCAATGGAGATGATCAAGTGATTCTTTTCTCTCCTTTTATTTATGTGGTGGATTTCGTTGATTGATTTTCTAATGTTGATCCATCCTTGCATACCAGGTATGAATCCTACTTGGTCGTGGTGTATTATTTTTTTGATATGATGTTGAATTCTATTGGGTAGAATTTTGTTGAGAATTTTTGCATCTATATTCACGAAAGTTATTGGTCTGTAATTTTCTTTTTTTGTGGCCTCTTTGCCTGGTTTTGTTTTTAGCTTTATGCTGGCTTCATAGAATGAATTCGGAAGTGTTGCTTCCTTTTCTATGCTCTGAAATAGCTTGAGTAGTAGTGGTACAAGTTCTTCTTTGAAAGTTTTGTAGAATTCTCCAGTGAAGCCATCTGGGCCAGGGCTTTTTTTGGTTGGGAGTTTTTTTTATTACCTTTTCAATCTCTTCTCTTGTTATGGGTCTGTTCAGATTTTCAACATCACTTAGTTGTAGTTTGGGTAGGTAGTGTGTTTCTAGAAATTTTTGCATTTCCTCTAGGTTTTCAAATTTGTTGGAGTACAGTTTTTCATAATATTCTGTTATGATCCTTTTTATTCCTGTTGGGTCTGTTCTAATGTCCCCCACTTCATGTCTTATTTGAGTTATTTGCCTCCTCTCCTGTTTTTCTTTTGTCAATCTGGTCAGTGGTTTGTCGACTTTGTTGATTCTTTCAAAGAACAAAATTTTGGTTTTGACTATATCTATTGCTTTTCTATTCTCTATTTCATTTATTTCTGCTCTGATCTTTATTATTTCCTTTCTTCTGGTGGCTGTGGGCTTTTTTTTTGCTGTTCTCTTTTTATTTGTTTGAGTTGTTTAGTTAATGTTTTGATTTTGTCCCTTTCTTCTTTTTTGATGTGTGCATCTGTTTCTGTAAATTGTCCACTGAGAACTGCCTTTGCTGTGTCCCAAAGGTTTTGGTATGATGTGTTTTCATTCTTGTTTGATTCTAGGAATTTTTTGATTCCATCTCTGATTTCTTCTATTATCCAGTGATGTGTAAGCAGGGTGTTATTCAGTTCCTTGTAATTCATTTTTTTTTCCTTGCTCTTTCTTTTGTTAATTTCTACCTTGATGGCATTGTGGTCAGAGTAGATACTTTTTATTATCTCAAAGTTTTGGATCTTGTTGAGGATTGCTCTGTGGCCTAAGATGTGGTCTATTCTGAAGAACATTCCATGTGCATTGGAAAAGAATGTGTACTTTGCAGCTGTTGGATGGAGTGTTATATACATGTCCATGAGGTCCAGTTGGCTGAATGTGCTCTTTAGGTCTTCTGTATCTTTGCTGAGTTTCTTTTTGTTGTTCTGTCCTTTATTGAGAGTGGTGTGTTGAAGTTTCCTACTATTATCCTGAAACTGTCAATTTTTCTTTTCAGTGTTGTTAGAGCTTGTTTTATGTATTTTGGAGCCCTGTCTTTGGGTGCATAGATGTTTATTATGGTATGTCTTCTTGATGAATCGTCCCCTTAATCATTATATAGTGTCCTTCTTTGTCTTTTATAGCGGATTTTGTTTTAAAGTTTATTTTATGTGAGACTAGTATTGCCACTCCTGCTCTTTTTTGGTAGTTGTTAGCTTGATATATTTTTTCCAACCTTTGATTTTTAATAAATTCACATCTTTGTTTCTAAGGTGTGTCTCTTGTAGACAGCATATTGATGGATCCTGTTTTCTTATCCATTCTGCCACTCTCCATCTCTTTATGGGTGCATTGAGTCCATTTACATTCAGTGTAATTATTGATAGATGTGAGTTTGTTGCTGTCATTTTGTAGTGCTTTTTTTTGTGGTGCTGATGTTTTCTTTGTTCCTCCTATTTTCCTGTGCTGCCTGTTGGTGTGATGTTAAGCATACGGTGCAGGCAGGCAGGATGCAGGGGGGAGATTGTGATGTGTGGAGCTAAGATGGATATGGGAGAGAGGAGAAAGGAACAGGAGTCAAAAACATACAAACAAACAAAACAGAGTGCTAGGGGAGCTTGCCGTTGGAGTGGAGAGATGAGAGACTTTGAAATGGAGAAATACAAAAAGGGGAAGAAGAAGAAAAAAGAAAAGAAAAGAATGAATAAATATAAATTAGAAACAAAAAAGAACAGTAAATTTTCCAGGGATCCCACTGGTGTAGCTACGAGGTCTGGGGAAGTTGTTTCCAGGTGTTGCAGTACAGCCTGGCTAGAAGACATAGAGGTATTCAGTGTCAGGTATTCAGGGGACAGGAAGAGAAGGAAGGTATAGAGAGACGAGAATCTGAGCAATGAAGAAAGACAAAAAGGGAGAAAGAGGGAAAAGAAAACAAAACAAATTTTAAAAATAAAGAACACTAAAAGCTCCCCAAAAAACAGAAAAAAAAAATACATGAAAAAAGAAATGCTCTCAGGGATCCCTCTGTGCAACTGCGGAAGCTGAGGGGATAGGTCCCAAGCCGTGTAGCACTGCCTCGCCAGAACGTCTCCCAAATTGAGAAAAGGGAAAGAAAACAAAGAATTCAAAACAAACAAACAAACAAAAGCTCCAGGATCCCAGCAGCATGGCAGCCCAAACCAGGAAACATTTCCACACACAGATGGAGCTCTGCGGCCCCTTAGGAAGAAGCAAAGATGGCGCATGGAGCCATGTATTTGAGTGAAAGGAGGGGGAGGTGGTGAGAGGTAAGGAAGAAATCAAAAGGAGAAAAAAAAAGCAACTCCAGCAGCCAACAAATGGCACTCAGGGAGTCGTCCAGTGCGGGTGGGTGAAATCCAAGCAGCCAGTGCTTCCTGGCCAAGAGAATGTGGTTGTGGGAAGCAGAGGAGGCAGAGTGGGGTGAAGAATGGTGGGGGGTGGGAAAGCATATATTGCCAGTTACTGGTTGTTCTGTCTCCTGCTGGAAGCTCCATGAAGCTGCTTTCTCATACCCTCTGTTTGCTGGTCTCTGATAGGAGTCCAAGATGGCGGATCCATGCTGTGTTAGCTGATAGGGGACCTCTGAATGAACCTCTCCTCACTCTCCGTTCTCTGTCAGTTTTCTCACTCCATTTGGTGCTTGGCTGAGTACTTTATCTCTTCATTTGATGTTTTAGGGTTTCAGGATTGCTGTTTTCTCTGTTTGGCTTAGTTTTTCAGATCCTTGTTTTGGAGGGACAGCATGGTGCTTCTGCCTAGAGGGCCATGTTTCCAAAACCCTCTAAAGAGTGACGTTCTTGATAAAATATTAATATGATATTTCCTTTGAAAAATATTCTTCATGTACTGTAATTTCATGTTTTACCTTTGTATTTTCCTGCTTAAAAAAATACAGCATACCTATTGTTTTTCCTTCTCCAATGGAATTTTATTCTATGAAAATTACTGTCCCTAATGGGAAACTGATAATCATTTTGTTACAACAACTAATCAACGGTAACTAGATATTGTATTAAATTTCAGACTGCAGTGGTAGAGCAAGTAGCAAGAATATGAGAACTATTTTTGCCTCAATAGTATATTCTTGATACCCACTATTTTTTTCCCAGTAGAAAGATATATTTTAGTTTACTTGCTTAAAATTATAATCTATTCATTATATGAAGTCAAGCAAATAGAGTGAAGTTTAAAAAGTGCCTCAAAAAGTTCTGAAAAGCCCTGATCCCTTCCCAACTGCCTCCTGCCTCACTCCTCGTCATGTCCTCACCAGGAGATGGATTGGTGGCCTTCTTGTCCTGCAGTGTCTCCCCTCCAGGGCAGCCTTGAGTGCTGCATCCTCTACCTGTGAGACTCTCCAATCTTCGCCTTCTCCCGAGACCCTGTGCACCAACACCTTTGCCTCCTTCTCACACTGACTCCTGCTGCTCTCCTGCCCTCCTGCAACATCCCTTACCCCCATGTTAGCAAAGGGGATCCACTGTTGACTTCTCAAGACTTATCTAGCCTGAGAATGAAGCCTGGAGGAGGAGGGGAAAAGAAGCATCTGGAATGCCTTTTTCCCAGTGATTGTTAACATTCAAGGATGTGGCCAAAGAGTTTTCTCAGGAGGAGTGGCAATCCCTCGACCCTGCTCAGAAGGCTTTGTACAGAGACATGATGTTGGAGAACTACAGGAACCTGGTCTCCCTGGATATCTCTTCTAGATGCATGCTCCAGGAATTAGCACCAGATGAGAACATTATTAAAGGAGAATTATTCCTAACAGTGATGTTGGAAAGACATGAAATTCATAGTCTAGAGAATTTTGTCTTCTGAGAAGTCCTGGAAAATATGCATGAATTTGAGAGTCATTGGGGATGTAATGAAAGAAATTACAGAGGAGTGACTAAATCGCATAACAGCAGTCTCACTGGTAGAGAAGACCAACAGCATGACATACCCTGGATAATTTTCTTCTAAAGCAGAGTGTTTCTGTAAGAAAAAATGCATATCAATATTGTAAACATGAAAATCTGTTTGTGAGGGACTTATTAAAACTAAAAAATAACAAGCTACAGAGAAAACAAGAATTTGAAATGTTTTGAAAATAAGATTCGATTAACCTTTTGATCAGATCTGGATGAACTGCAGAGATTTCAAACTGAAGAGAAAATTTATGGACTCAATCAAGTTGAGAAATCTATCAACAATGGTTGCCCAGTTTTACCACTTCAAAGAATTCCTGCTAGTATCAATTTCAGCATTTGTAATAAATGTAGGAAAGTTTTTAAGGATCCCTCATTGCTTACACAACACCAGAAAACACATATTACAGGAAAACTCTATGAATGTATAGAAGATGAGAAGGCTTTCAACCAAAGCTCAATTGTCAGTAAACATCAGAAAATTCATTTTGGGCTAACTGCTCACAAATGTAATGAGTGTGGCAAAGCCTTTAAGTACTTCTCAAACTTCATTAAACATAAGAGAATCCATACTGGAGAGAAACCATATAAATGTAATGTATGTGGCAAGGTCTTCATTCAAAATTCAAACCTTAGGAGTCACCTGCAAATTCATACTGGAGAAAGACCTTATAGATGTAACGAGTTTGGTAAGGCTTTTATCAAACGTTCACAACTTCTGAGACATGAGAGAATTCATACTGGAGAGAAACCTTACAAATGTAATGAGTGTGGCAAAGCCTTTACTGTGCATTCATGCCTTACTCGACATCAAAGACTCCATAATGAAGAGAATCTTTATAAATGTCGTTCATACCTCTGGGATCATGAGAAAATTCATACTGGTGAGAAACCATACAAGTGTATTGAATGTGGCAAGGCTTTTAGGCAACTGTCTGACCTCAGGATTCACCAAAGAATTCACACTGGAAAGAAACCTTACAAACGCAATGAGTGTGACAGAACGTTTACTGTGCATTCAAGCCTTACTAATCATAGGAGAATTTATACTGCAGAGGAACCTTATAAAGATAATGGATGTGGCAAAGTGTTTAACCATTTTTCAAACCTTATTATACAGCAGAAGATACATACTAAAAAGGAGCATTGTAAATCTAATACATCTGTGAATGTTTTTATTTGAAGTTCAAACCTTGATAATCATATAATTCATAGTAAAGAGAAAACTTACAAATGTAATGAGTGTGGCAAATCCTTTACCATGCATTCAAGCCTTTCTAATCATAAGAGAAGCCATACTGGAGAGAAACCTTACAAATGTAATGAGTGTGGCAAATCCTTTACTGTGCTTTCTAGTCTTACTAATCATAAGAGAAGCCATACTGGAGAAAAACCTTACAAAAGTAATGAATGTAACAAAACCTTTACCTATTTTGCAAACCTTATTAGAGATCAGAAAATGCATGCTGAAAATTAACAATGTAAAGCTAATACGTGTGTCAATGCTTCTATTCAAAACTCAAGCTTTGGGGATCATGAGAAAATTCATACTGGAGAGAAACCTTACAAATGAATGTGATAAGTTTTTTTTTTTTTTTTAATCAAATGCTCACTCCATTGGATGCATGAGAGAATAAATACTGGAGAGGAACCCTTCAAATGTAATGATGTCATAAATCATTTAGTTAGTTTTCACAATGGACTACATATCAGAGAGGTCATACTACAAGGAACTAAGTTTCTAGTCCTTCTTAAAGATTAAAAACCTTTTTGTTGTTGTTAGGTGCAATCAAGTCAATTTCCAACTCATAGCAATCCCATATGGCCGAGTGGAACTGCCCTGTAGGGTTTTCTAGGCTGCAATCTTTATAGAAGCAGATCACCAAGTCTGTCTTCCACGGAGAGGCTGGATTGGTTCAAGCCAACAACCTTTAAGTTAGCAGCTGAGCACTTAACTGTTGCACCACCAGGGCTCCTTTAATCAACCTTAGGTGTGAAATGTTGCAGTGTAATTAAAAGTCAGAATCATTTAAAATTTATGAGATGTTAGGTATCAAAAGAACACTTATGATGACTTTCAGCTTGAGGTTTGAAACCTTTATCACAGATCTTTCATGGGTCAATGTGATGGTCTCTGGGAAGGGATTAATAAGGACACTGAATTTAAGATATGGTGAAAATATGAATAAGAAACTGGAGATAGCTTGAGGATAAACACAAAACTATGTATAAATCATCACAATAAATGTGTTCAGGCCTCTCTAGATTTGTTGGTACAAAGGAGGGTCACTGTTAATTATAGGAAATGATTGCTCTACCAGGTGACCAAGAAACAGAGCATGTCAAGAGAGACTTGAGAGGCATATTTTCATGACAACAGAATGATAGTTTACTAGGGACTGCTAATGTGGTGGAAATAATGGAGGAGAAATGATGGTCTCTCTCTCCTTTGTAAGGAATAATACTTTTCATCCTGCTTAGAGTCCTCACTGGAATCATTTGAAGCAATGAATATTCATGAATTTCCCTTAAGAATGAGCTTACTCAATGTGGATAAACTAGGAACATCATATGTTCACTCCCCTAAAACTTTCAGTTAATTTGTACTTGTGACCACTTGAGAGGCAGGATGGACCTCCATCCAAAGTTTGGTTTAGATATTAAGAATGGTGATGCCACATATCAAAGGGGTATGAGAATGCTTATTACATAATGAGAGCTGGGCAGGCTTCACAAGCAGGTATGAAATGGCTGGAGAGATCAGGGATACTAGACTGGCTTGTGTTTCTATGGTAGTTGGGAGGTGGGGCTGGGCTGAGAGTACCTGTATGTGGTTTGAACTTTCCACTAGCACCAAAAGGGAGGGAGCACTTCAGCTTTTTTATCAGCTTGCCCCAATTGGGGCAGAAGGAGAAGAGGAAGAGGCTGAGCCTTAGCCTTAAAAGCTGTCAGTAGTTAAACACCAAGAAGTGGAGTCAGATTCTCTAATAAAATACTGAATATTTGCTCTTGAAGCTCCACAATTTCCTTCATGCTAATATCTTGCTAGGAGTCCCTTGGTGACACAAATGTTTAAGTACTTGACTACTATCTGAAAGGTTGAAGATTCGAATCCACCCAGAGGCACCATGGAAGAAAGTTCTGGCGATCTACTTTCAAAAGGTCACAGCCATTGAAAACCCTATGGAGCACAGTTCTAATCTGAAACACATAGGGTCACCATGAGTTGGAACTGACTCACTGGCAACTGGTTTTCAATATCTTCCCACATGCCCTTTCCTGCAGCAAACACAGGACGCTTTGCACAGTATGATTTTTGAAAATGCTTGTGGAATCTATTTAGATAAAATGCTTAATATTTTTACATTAGTTGCATGAAAATTAATGTGTGAAAGTGCTTATCAGGCAATAAATATGATTTAATAATCTTACTTGAGCAAATTTTCTATGGCTGAAAAAATGTCAACTTGAAATTATGGGGTTAAGCAAAATGTTAACATGATTCTTTTTCAACTATAGTAAAAAAAGTTCCTTAAAAAAAAAAGTTCTGAAAAAGCCAATTTAATATCTGAACCTTTTATTATAATTAATAAAGAAGTAAGAATTGCTTCTTACAACCCTGAGAATGTGAGTAGTGTCAGTAAAGAGATACATTTACTGTATGAGTCATAATTCTTGGTACCTTTCACATGACAGACTAATAATTATTGAAGGTTTCACAGGCTTCTTTCCAGCAGTGATTCCTGAAATGTGATTTTTGAATTGCATGTCACTTAACTTTTGGTAATGTTGTGACACTCCAATATTTCTATCCATTCTACATTTGTTCATTAGAAACTTTGATTTGTATGTGAATGTGTTAATGATGCTATGATAGTCTACAAATAATTTTAAGTCCGAGATTTCTTTATTAATCTCTCAAAGGAAGTAAATTGCTGTTCAAGAATGGAATAACTTGTGTTTTTGCAATTAACTATAGCAAATAACTTGTTTGCTATCCAAATTAACTTCATGTGGTACATTTCAGTAAGAATGTACTAGAAAGAAGCTACAATAGAATTTGGATTTTGAGCAATTAGGGGGAAAGTATAAGGATCTGAGAATTTGCTCTTACAAAGTGGAGTGAATTCTATGATTGGATATTGCAATAAATCTTACCTACAGTTTTCCAGTTCATCTCATTCACTCAAAATCTTACTTAGTAAGTCCACATCTAGCTAGAAGGGTGGCTGGTATACGTAGTGTTTATTCTGGGCAGCCATGCACCCAAATGAAATCCAGAGCTTTGATTACCTAAAGATAAAAGGGAGAGTGGATATAAGGGAAAAATTAGCAGGTTCTTCTGTAGCTTCTTAATAGAAGAATTGCTGAACCAAGTTATACGTTTTGTCTCTTGAAGTGCTTTTTATATGAGCACAAATTGCTTTCTGAAAGATTCTCCTACCAGATACTTCCACAAGTGATACAGGAGAGAGGCTGCCTAGTCATATCCATGCCAACACTGAGTACTAAAATAAATCTTGCCGGTTTGATAGGAGGGGAAAGATACTGATATTTGTGTTGCTTTGATAATAGAAAGGGCTAAATGTTTTCATGTATTTGCTGGCTACTTGTGTTGTTGTTGTTTTTTTTTGTGAATATTCTATGCCCTTTGTCTACTTTGAAATTCAAATCAGCTAGTTATAGCATCATGCAGGGGGAGGGAGAATTTTTCCTTTAGCAATAAGAGTTAAAAACATCCCAGGATTATAGGCAACCTTATTATGAAGGAAATATCATCGAAAAATAACTTACAAAAGTTTTACTTAGTTTTTTTATGACTGAGAAACTTAGGTTCAAATAGTAGTTTGTCTAGATGTAGCAGCAAAGGCAAAAGTATGGAAAATAACATCAGTATAATTAACTATGAGTTTTCTTGATGACTTGCAAACAATTAGATCACTGACAATCTAGCCATTTCAAAAATGGGCTCCTCTCTGAGCCAGGGTAATAATGTGATAGCTGTGCTTCAGTTCAGTGTGGGGAGAAAGGTCACCACATGGGTGGTGACAGGCATTTGAAGCTCCTTCAGAGTGGTGACAAGAGGAAATGAAAGAACTAAAGTGAGACAAATGCTGGCAATTATTGCTAGTTCCTGCATTTATGTGTCACTGTCAATCAGATCCATGCTAATTAAAATTTCAAATTGGACCCGATATAAATACTCAACATGTTTTCATAATATCCATTTTTACTTTACAGTCAAACTGACATTAATCCTCACATTTTCTACTTTGTAGTCACAGAGTGTTTTTTTGCTTTAATTGCAGAGATCTGAGTACTGCCAGTCTCCACTACCTCAGCAGCAGGCAAGCCGTGGCTGACATTGCCAACTTCAGAACTAAAGTAGCAAAGAAAATGGGGCTCACCAGAAATAAATGGGTTTTATTTGGTTGCTCTTATGGAGGCTCACTTGCAGTGTGGTCGAGAATAAAACACCCTGACCTGTTTGCTGCAGCAGTGGGCAGCAGTGCACCGATGCTAGCAAAAGTTAATTTCTATGGTGAGTCTATTTATAAATGGGAATCCTTGGGTGGCACAAACAGTTAACAATCTGGGCTGATAACTGAAAGGTTGGAGGTTCAAGTCCACCCAGAAGCACCTTGGAAGAAAAGTCTGGTGCTATACTTCTGAAAAATTAGCCATTGAGAACCCTACAGACCACAGTTCTATTGTGACACACATGAGGTCACCATGAGTTGGAATCGACTTGGCTGTAACTGGTTTGGTTTTTATGGTATGCATATGCATATATGTATTATATACATATATAATGACAAAAGTATCTGTAAGTTAGTGATTGCTTAATCAAGCATGGGTCAATAACATAGCATCATGCAACTTAACTTGAGTCTTTCTCCCTTCTCATATGACAGGGTTCCGTGAGAGATTCCTATGCTACCAACAGCTGGTAGTTAGTATCCATATTTGCAGCTTTATAACTGGCCATAGCTTCTTAATGGGTGGAAATGATGTGATAAGTCTTAGCTGTTGATTCGATAGTGAAAGAAATCATGATTTAGCTTTTCCAAAGAAGTAAAGGAAAAGGAGTTTTTTTGAAGAATAAAACTTTTCTATTTTGAAGTTGTCTTTCAATTTTCTTTCCTGCTACCTGCCTTTGTGATAAAACATTCATAATTAATGGTGTTAGGATTTCTCCAGGTGGATATAAACTCTTTGTTGGCAATTTGGGCTTCTGCATACATGTTCCCATTAAAATGAGTAGAATATAAAATTTCTACTTAATTAATTTTTTCTTGCAAAAAGAAAACAACACTCCCTCCCCCAAAAAAGAGATACATTCCTTGTAAAATTTCCTTTAATATTTGATCTTTTCAAATATAAACAGTTTATGTTTTTGTAGCCTTGATAGAATCTTATCTGATCCAATAAATCTGAAAGGTGTAAAATTGAGGCATCTCTCTCCCTACCTTTTGTAAATAGTAAAACTTTGAGTTCATTATTAGGACAGGATTTGCACAGCATAGTTATAAGTCTCTGGTTACTAGTGAATTTCTTGGCATTCTGACAAAATCCTTTAATCTTGAAGTTTCTTACCTTTGTCATAAAACGGAGGTAATTGCACACTTGAAAGAATTATATTTTATAAATGGTTACAATTAAATCTTACTAAATGCATCAATTCTTTTCCATATTCTTAGAGTACCTTGAAGGAATTCAAAGGTCTCTGTGCACTTACAACAGCGAATGTTTAGAAGCAGTGAAAGAGGCTTATAATCAAGTTGTGGAGATGCTGAAACTTCCAAAATACTACAGTAAGCTTGAAAGTGATTTTATGTAAGTGGATTGGTTTGTGTTTGAGGTAGTGTGCTTACATATAGTCTTTTATTTACTTGAAATTATACCATTAATGTTATTTTCTTACATGCATTGCATTTCTTTGGGCAAATCTGCTCCCAAAGATATCTTTAGAGTGTTAAAAAACAAACATGTCACATTAAAATCTAAGATGCACCTGACCCAAGCCATAGTATTTTCGATCGCTTTATATGCATGTGAAAGCTGCACCATGAATAAGGAAGACCAAAGAAGAATTGTTACCTTTGAATTATGGTGTTGGTGATTTTGAATATATTCTGGACTGCCAGAAGACGGAACGAATCTGTCTTTGAAGAAGTACAGCCAGAAAGCTCATTATAAGCAAGGATGGTGAGACTTTGTCTCACGTACTTTGGACATGTTATCAGAAGAGATAAGTCCCTGGAGAAGCACATCATGCTTTGTAAAGCAGAAGGTCAGGGGAAAAGAGGAAGACCCTCAACGAGGTGGGATGACACAGTGCCTGCAACAATGGGCTCAAGCATAACAATGATGATGATGGCGCTGTACTGGGCAGTGTTTCATTCTGTTTTATGTAGGGTCGCAATGAACCTACTGGATGGCACCTAACAACAACTACAATAAACAATAAGGAAATCATAGTTGTTTAACATCTGGAGTAGATGTTTCCATGGTAGTGGTGGAAGTTCTTTCTGAGTTACTTAAACTTTAAAAAGTTAGGTTCCAACAATTATATTAAAATATGTTTTCATAGACTCATAGGATAGCTAGAGTATTATGATTAGTAGGCTTAGTGTAATCGACATGACCCAAAAACATGTAGTGCTTCTTAATATACAGATTCCTTGGTCTCTCTGTTTTGTTGTTGTTAGGTGCCTAGAACTGGTTCCTACTTGAGGTGACTCTGTGTCTAACAGAATGAAGCATAACCTGGTCCTGTGCCAACTTCACAATCATTATTGCAGTCACCGTGTCAGTCTATATCCTCGAGGGTCTTCCTTTCTATCACCTACCCTCTTTTTGAACAAACATAATGTTCTTCTCCAGAGATTGATCTGTCCTGATGACATGCACACATTAAGGGAAATGAAGTCTTATCACCTTCAATTCTAAGGAACACTTTGGCTATGTTTCTCTCCCTAAACTCGCTGAATCAGAATCTCCAGGGCAACAGGGTTTGGGATCCGTATTCTTCCCCTGGTTAAATACACAAAATATTCATTATGTAAGTTTTGTGTCTTCTTAGTACAATTTGTGAAAAGATTGAAAATTTCAGCAGAGTTATTCTCTACACTTCATCTCATTTCTGCTTCTGGCTTTGTTCACATGTTACTCCCCATTCTGGAATCTTCTTTCTTTTCATCCTACACAGATCCTACCCATAGTAAAACCTTGATTAAATCCTACCTCCTGCCTAAAGCAATAGCTGACAACTATATGCCCAGCACTGTGCTAATAAGCCGTCTTCACAACAACCCTGTGAGAGAGATACTGTTCTCCTTTCTGTTATAAAGCCAAGGACAACGAGTCTTGGAGAAGTGAGGTTGTTTTTGTTGTTAGCTGCTGTTATTAGGCCCCTGACTCCTGGCAACCCTATGCACAATGGAATGCAAAGCTGCCTGCTTCTCCTCCATCCTCTGATTGTTTGTCAATCATACCACTGTGATCCATAGGATTTTCATTGCCTGTTTTTTGGAAGTAGGTAACCAGGACTTTCTTCCTAGTATGTTTAGACCGGAAACTCCACTGAAACATTTTCAGCTTCATAGAAACTCAGAAGCCCTCACTGACACACAGGTGGTGGTTGTACATGATGTGTATCAGCCAGGATTTGAATCCAGGTCTTCCACATGGAAAGTGAGAATTGTACCGCTGTACCAGTGATGACTCTTGAGGAGTAAGGCAGCTAGCCTAGACATCTCTCTGCAAGAAAGTGTTAGATGTGAGCTCTGAACATACTCTCTTACCAAGGACCTATGTCACACATGAGAGGGACCACTAACCTTGCTAACTGCATTGTATAGCTCCAAGCATCTCCCTCTTCTCTCAGTCCCCTGGAACCTGCAGTCTGTACCTCTCAGTGAGCAATTACTTATAGGCTTTGCTGTTCTTTTCTAGTCCGAACTCAAACATATCAAAGCCCGGGAATAATTTCTATAGGCCTACATAGTTGGCTCAGCCACTTGGTTAGACTTGGAGGAAACATGTGAAATGTGAAAATTTAGAAGATATTTTGTATGTCTGACTACAGAATATCACGCAGCAAAAGAAAATATCAAATTCAACTTGTCTTTGTTCTAGAAATGACATTTTTTCTATAAGAACTTAGGGTTGGGGAGGTTATTGAATGATGGAAATCTCAAACGAAAAAGATCCATATCCCAAAGTCCTTATTCAGGTTCTTGGAGATTTTGGACCATCCCTCTTGGACCACTATCTATTCTATGAGAATGTGTTGACCCAGGAAATATGAAAATTGTGCTCTCGTGAAATCTTTTTTGGCCTAAATCAATTCCAAATGGAAGGATACTTAAATCTCTCTTGTAGAGGATAGACACACAGTAAAGTGGAATACCAGAAATCTTTTAATAGAGATTTGGGTCAGTGGATTTGCTGATGTGGTCACAGTTTGAGTTAGGTCATTTTATAAAATGGATGAAGTAAAGCGCGTTTTCCTTAAAATAGTTTTTTCCGTTTATCAGTACTTACCCTACCTACTTTAAGAGTAATATTAGCTTCAATATTATTAAGTAAAATTTGTTGCTGTTGTTAGGTGCTGTCGAGTCAGTTCCAACTCATAGTGACCCTATGTACAACAGTACAAAATACTGCCTGGTCCAATGCCATTCTCAGAATCATTGTTATGCTTGAGCCTGTTGTTGCAGCCACTGTGTCTATCCATCTCATTGAGCGTTGTCCTCTTTTTCGCTGACCCTCTACTTACTGAGTATGATGTCTTTCTCCGGGACTGGCCCCTCCTGATAACATGTCCAAAGTATGTGAGTCGAAGTCTCCCCATTCTTGCATATAAAGAACATTCTGGCTGTACTTCTTCCATGACAGATTTGCTCTTTATTTTGGCAGTCCATGGAATATTCAGTATCTTTGCCAACACCTTAATTGTGTTTATTTTGAAAGCAGACACAGTATTTTATAGTCATGTATCATACATGTAATTTAATTTCACATGATTTCCCAGTCTAGATAAGTTTCTGTGAATGGCTGTGGGAGTGATGCCTGATTTTTAAAAGTGTGAAACTCTGTCAGTGTGCTACCTTCTTTTTTTTTTTAAATATGTAAATGACATTTTATTTTACTTTTCTTAAATTTTTTTGCACAGTATTTTTTTCTCTTTTTACTTTTTTATTTTTATTTACCACTTATACTGTAGATGAAGGTCTACAGAGCAAACTAGCTTTTCATTTAAAAATTAATGTACATTTTGTTTTGTGACATTGGTTGCCAACCCCACAACATGTCAACACTCTCCCTTTCTCCAACTTAGGTTCCCCATTACTAGTTGTCCTGTCCCCTCTTGCCTTCTTGTCCTTGCCCCTGGGCTGGTGTGTCCACTTAGTCTCATTTATTTTTATGAGTTAAAATTTTGTACTACATTTTTCTGCAGCCCTGTCTGGGACCCTCTATTGTGATCCCTGTCAGAGCAGTTAGTTGTGGTAGCCGGGCACCATCAACTGTGCTTTAATCAGTCTGGTGGAGGCTGTGGTAGTTGTCCTAGTCCTTTGGACTAATCTTTCTCTTGTGTATGTTTTCTTCATTCTCCCTTGCTCAAGACAGGCTGAGACCAGTGGAGTATCTTAGACAGCTGCTCACAAGCTTTTCAGACCTCAGATGCTACTCACCAAAGTGGGATGTAAAACATTTACTTTATAAACTATATTATGCCACTAGAACTAGATGAACTCCGAGATCATGGTCCCCAGGCCTCAGCCCATTAATTCAGTCCCTTATGGAGTTTAGACGTGTCTGTGAAGCTTCTATGATCTTGCCTTGGTCAAGTTGTGTTAACATCCTCAGAATTGTGTACTGTCTTACCTTTCACCAAAGTTACCATTTATCTATTGTCTAGTTAGTGTTTTTCTCTTCTCCCTCATAACCATCAAAGATTGTTTCTTTATGTGTGTAAACTTTTTCATGAGTTTTACACAATATTTGCCCTTTTGTGATTGACTTATTTCAGTCAGCATAATATAATCCAGATTCATCCTTGTTGTGAGATGATTCACAGATCATCATTGTTCTTTATCATTGCATAACATTACATTGTGTGTATGCACCATAGTTCATTTATCCATTGATTTGTTGATGGGCATCTAGGTTGTTTCCATCTTTTTGCTATTGTGAACAATGCCGCAATGTACAAGGGTGTGCATATGTCTATTTGAGTGACAGCTCTTATTTCTCTGGGACAAATATAAAATGAAACAACTATAAAGATCATAGAAGAAAGAATAGGATCAACGCTAGAGGCCCTAATACAAGGTATTAATAGGATACAAACCATAACTAACAGTACAGAAATGCTAAAAGATAAGCTAGATGTCATAGATTGAATTGTGTCCCCCAAAAATATCTGTCAACTTGACTAGGTCATGATTTCCAGTATTTTATGATTGTCTACCATTTTGTCATCTAATGTGATTTCCCTATGTGTTGTATATTCTATCACTATGATGTAGTAAGATGGATGAATGGCAGTTATATTGATGAAATTCTCAAGACTAGATAGCGTCTTAAGCCAATCTCTTTTGAGATATAAAAGAGAGAAGCAAGCAGAGAGACTTGGGGACCTCATATCACAAAGAAGGCAGTGGTGGGAGCAGAGTGCATCCTTTGGACCAGAGGTCACTGTGCTGAGATGCTCCCAGAACAGGAGAAGACTGATGACAAGGACTTTCCTCCAGAGCCAACAGAGAAGGCCTTCTCTTGGAGCTGATGTCCTGAATTTGGACTTGTAACCTACTAGACTGTGAGAGAAA